TTTCCCATTGCCATAACATGGGGCACCAAATTTAGCGATTTTTGAGCTTTCAAAACGACATAACTTCCGAACCAAAAGTCGGATTGAAATTTGGATTGCAGATTTGAATTCCTGAGAAAATTCTACCCTTAATTCATAACTCATACGTAAAATTTGGAGAATTTTTTAGTTTGACCTACTTTTCGGACACCATATCTCAAAAGTGGGTCAAAATATTTTCTGACGGCAAAAGGCTAACACTATTAGCACACTCTTGGCTACATGTATAAAAAATTTCGAAGAATATAATTAATCTGTAGTGTCAGAATCGCAAAAATAAGGAAAAACTTTGAATTTGACCTAGATTTTTACCTAGGCATTTTGGTGTCCAAATTTTTATGAAAAGAAGGTCTTGTGGTCCCTTTCTTTTATGGGCTTCCATTATGTTTAGCTGTGCTTAGTCTATATCTCGTATTTTACACTTCAAAAAAATATTTTTTCCCATTGAATTAACATGGGGCACCAAATTTAGCGATTTTTGAATTTTCAAAACGCCATAACTTCTGAACCGGAAGTCAGATCGAAATTTGGTTTTCAGATTCGGAATCCTGAGGAAATTTCCTATAAGACTGATATCCTGGACATTGGATTCGGAGATTTTTTTTTTGAACCTCGTTTTCGGACACTGATATCTCGAAATCGGTTTGAGATACCAAAAAACTAAATCGACATAAGCTTTTCTACTTTTTTATGAGGAACACAATGAAAAAAACCCGGATCAAAAATTTTGAAGGACGACCGAGATAATGGGAAAAAGTGACAAAGTACTGGATTTGACCTAGTTCTTGACCTTTGACCTAGATAAAAATTTGACCTAATTTCCCAGAAAGCCAGATACATTCCCTAGTTAACCATGTAGGTTGGATTAAGTAAGATGTTATAGTTGGAGAGAAAATCTGTTAGGAGGAAGAAAGAAAGAATAATAAGAAAACAGGCAAAAACAATAGACTCCAGATTTTCAATCTGGAGTCTAATTACACCCGAGGTCCAACCAATGGTCCAGAATGAACCAGATGCCAGTCCAGCGAAGGAGGAAACAGATAACTCCTGGAGGCCATGGTAGAGACAAATTTCAATTAAAGTAAAATTAAATATTCTCACATTACACATTTTGACCTAGGGACAGTATTTATTACGAAGTACGCATAAACATTAGCTTTTTCTCATCAAAAATAAAAACCTCTCTATTTTTCATTTTCAAACCACTGTGTTTCACATTCTTAAACACCCAACATCTGCCAAGGGAGATTTCCACCAACCAAACAATGCCTGGTTTTATTTTTATTAGCATCAAAAATCACAGACACATCTGGCAGGAGGTGGCAAGTGCATTCTATCCATCAGATAAGAGTCTCAGGGGTATGTAGGCAAATTAAGTTTGGTAGTATAGAGGAAGGAAGAGGAAAGTAGAGGAAGGAAAAGGAAGGAAGAGGAAAGTAGAGGAAGGAAAAGGAAGGAAGAGGAAAGTAGAGGAGGGAAAAGGAAGGAAGAGGAAGGAAGAGGAAAGTAGAGGAAGAGGAAGGAAGAGGAAAGTAGAGGAAGAGGAAGGAAGAGGGAAGTAGAGGAAGAGGAAAGTAGAGGAAGAGGAAAGTAGAGGAAGAGGAAAGTAGAGGAAACAGAAAGGAAGTGGGAAAAGAAAGATTATGTTTCACCAAGTAAGTAAATCAACACTGTACAGGAGATTTGCGCAAAGGGTCCACACTTGATGTTTACTTTGCATTCTTTGTAACAAATGGCAGTGGTGACATTTTGCATATTGATTGCTTGTTAATGTATAAGCTAGAAACGGTTACAGAATGTGAAATGGTTGGCTGTGGGGGTGGTTTGGAGGCTTTTTAATGTTAATATTACACATCATTGTTGTAAAACATTGCAGCAAAATCTTACATATACCAGGTCGATCAATAAGTTCTGAGAATTTTCCTCTAAAATCAAGTTTTGTGAATTTTTATTTGAAATTTTCACAGAACATGTAATATGAATTCAGCAATTAGTGTAAGAAGTTAAATGCACTTTCCACCTATTGGGCCAAAATTATGGTTACCATGGTAACTCGTGTTTTTGGTAGGCGGGGCAAGTATTTTTAACGTAAATAAATTTTTTTAACATCAAGCAACAATCTTATGTTTCAACCAAAGCATTGGATTTCAATGAGGATTTTGTTGTTTTTATAACCATCACTATGGTAACAATTTAATATGACATCATAATTCAGGACAAATTACATAATATTACTATTACATCATAATTTCCACAACCTCAATGTACCCTGCCAAAATGGCCACTCCAAAAGATGCTAAAAATTTGGAAGAAAATGAGGAAATGTCAATACAGATGCGCAGTGCCATACGATTTTGCGTGCTTGGTGGCAAAAGTAAACAAGAAACACTCAAGGAGATGTTGGTAGCCTTTCCAGGCAGGATATCCACTAAAACTATTTACAGATGGTATGGCAAATTCCAAAGTGGGAGAACCAGTGTAAAAGATGAAGCAAGGTCAGGAAGGCCACTATCTGTTACAAAGCCCACAAATATAATGAAGCTCAAGACTGTCCTTGATGAAGACAGGCGAATAACAATCAGGGAGTTAAGTGAAAAAGTAAACTTCAGCTATGGAAGGACACAGTACATACTGAAAGAGAAGCTCCATATGAAGCTTGTGTGTTCTAAATGGGTGCCAAAAGATCTAACCATGGACCAGAAGCAGCGCCGGGTCGATGTTGCACAAGACTTCCTCAGACGATACCAAGCAGAGGGGAGGCTTTCTTGGAGCGCATTATTACTGCTGATGAAGTTTATGTTTCATATTATGAGCCAGAAGGCAAGAGGGCCACAAGTGGATGGAGAACAAAGGACTCCCCTACCCCTTTGACGACCATTGCTAAACTCAATCGTAGATATGGCAAGGTTATGTTCATCATTTTCCTGGATATCTACGGGGTACTCCTGGTGCATGCAGTCGCTGAAGGACAAACCATAAACAAAGACTATTATGCTATGGTAAGTTAGTGTGTGGCTATTGATGCCCTTCAGGATCATGTCTTGCCAGAGAATTTATGTTCACTCTAGTCTAGGTAGTTCAGCTTGAATGTACATGTAGTTTGAATACATCTAGTGAGGGAATGGTGCCCTAAAAATCACTTCTTTTTTCAGGTATTGAAACGTCATCTTAAGCGGGCTATTGCACGAAAACGCCCTGAAACAGAGCTGTCGTCATTACTTAATCATCACGACAATGCCCCGTCCCACACATCTTCGATTGTCAAAAGCACTGTATCTGATGACCTTCAGATGGAACAACTACCCCATGCTTCCTATTCACCAGATGTTGCGATCTGTGATTTTGTTGTGTTTGGACCGATGAAAGATGAGCTGAGAGGATTCAGATATGCGAACTTTACAGACCTCCACAATGCCGTGCAAAATGACCTGAAAAAACGTTTCCCAGATGGATTTAGGCACTTGTTCCGCCAGTTGGTTCAACGCCAGGAGAGGTGTATTAAGAACCGAGGAAATTACTTTGAACATCTTAATTGAACCCCCTTGACATCTTACTAGGACTATATGACCAACCCTAATGCAGGAAGCAGCTCAGAACTATATTTATAATTGATTTATAAATGATTTATTTACATTTTATGCGCTTTACTTCTGACATTAAAATTATTTGCCCCGCCTACACAAAACACAAGTTACCATAGTAACCATATTTTTGGTCCAATAAAAGGAAAGTAAGAAAAACTTGGTACACTAATTGCTGAATACATTCTACATATTCTGTGAAAATTTCATTCAAAAAGTCACAAAACTCTTGATTTTAGAGGGAAATTCTCAGAACTTATTGATCGACCTGGTACATGAAGATATGCCATTTTGACTCTGGAATTATCTGCAAATCTCTGGAATTTATTTTTCAATTTTGTGTGGCCACCCTGAGTGATAAGAAAATTATGTGAATAATGTCAAAGTGTAGTCTTATTATACAAGTTTCCATAAAAGTATTAAAGGATCAATCCATCAATGAAATTGAAAAAAGACCAGACTGATTCATGTATTCAGTCTTTTTGTGATAATACAAAGTAGAAAGTACTATTGATTTGATTAATTGTTATTACAGGTGAATTATGGTAAACATTTATTAATATACAATATAAATTTATTTCCAGGAGCAAGATCACCTAGTTACAGGAAGGACATGGCAACTGGAACAAGGAGGTTTTCAAGATGAAATATAACTGTGTTTGATCTTTAAAAAACTATTAAAGTAAAGAACAATTGAGACTACGCATTGCGTTTGGTTTATTTTCTGGAAATGTGTTACTTTTGGCCATTTGTCGCGACACTGGTGGAAATACTTAAAAAAAGAAGAGGAATGGCTACAAAAAGTAGACTTACTGTGCATTTGAAAAAAACTGCTATCAACACTCACTTTTATTAAGAAAGTGAAACTCATTCACATCTCATCTCACACATTGACATAAACAGAGCAGAAGGAAATGGGAACAAACTAAGGACTTCTAGGATTCACAGTAACTTAAACAGAAAAGAGTAGACAATTAGCACGACTCCGATCTGGAACTCTTTACACATTTGTATAAATGGGAAGTTATACTAAACCAAACACACCATTGTTGCAAAAACCTGTACAAGTGTTTAAATAAATAACAGTTGAAGAAGAGAGTAATATTTGAGTTTCAGGGCTATTGGGGCTTTGTTTTCCAATTACAATTAGTAAATAGTTATTAAGGCTTTTATGGGGGCCATAATGAAGGAAACATTTAATCTCAATCCCCTCAACAGAATTTCTGTTCGATTTTCAGGTAATGAAATTGAAAGAATTGATTTTTTACAAATTTCAAGATTTGAAAATTAAATGATAAATGTATCTAGGAAAATGTAAGTGAATTTCACTTGGTATAATACATCTGTGCAATGCTGAAAATGTTTCAACAAAAAATCATTGTGATAAAACAAAGTGCAACAAGTTTAGAATCACTGCCAATATTTTGATAATTCTGGAGTTTTAAATGATTTTGACAAGTAATCTACGCCTCTATTGTCTTTGTGAACGATGGCTACAGCATATGACGCCATAGACAGGTCAAAAAGGAAGGCAGACTGTGAGAATTCGGCCAGCAAAGTGGGTAAAAAAACTTGTGTTCAAAAGTCGCAATTCAACATGGGGGACAACATACCTGCACGCATGAATGCCGAGCCAAATGCTATGTGCAGTAAGGACTCTGATAACGCTGTCTTATCGCTTTTAACGAAATTAGTCGCTGATCACCAGAAGATTAGTGATAAATTGGACAATATGCAAACGGATATGATACAAAGGGAAGAATGGATAATGGCTAAGATTGATGAGAAACTGGAGAATACAAAGGATATTATGAAACAGGAAATTACCAAGGTAAACCAAAATTTACAGTCTCAAATTGATAGTGTGTCAGAAAACATGAACAATCTTAAAGACTCAATAAACTTATGTAAAATAGTGAAGAATATTCCTCAGTCAGAAAATGAAGATTGTATAGCCAAGGTGAATGAGTTTCTTAATGTTGGAGTGAAAACGAAGGCAAAGGTCAAAAGGGCTAAACGATTCCAGAAAAGACAAGGGTCAAGATACCCTGGTATTATTGTTGCTGAAGTGTGCGAATCTGATAGGACGGATGTAAATTACTTTGTATCGAATGAGACCCAAAAAATGAACACAAACCTGCAAACAATTTTACAAGCTGTAGGTAAACAGCAGGATTTTACCTTTGTGAATGGCAGGCTTTTAACGAAAACCCCAAGGCGCGTACCAACACACAACCCGGTGGTTAACAATGGAATTGCCCCCACTATTAACCAGGAATAGGGGCGTCTGACTGCAGGATTTTGGAACGTGCGAGGAATACCAAGATCCAACGATCACAATAAGTTTAATAAATAATAAGTTTAATAAATATTGATATCATAGGATTAGCTGAAACACACCTAATTGATGATGCAATTGTGGATTCAGTTGGATATACATGGTATGGTCATAACCGTACACATAACGTCAGAGCGCATTCTGGTTGCACGTGCATTATGAAGTTCCACTTCAGTATTCTATTTTTTCAATTTCAGTTTACTATATTTCAGATAAATGATGCCAGGAAAGAGGCAAAAAGCTTAGTATACTTAAATGAAACCTGGTGTAATCAAAATCACTAACACAAGTTTTTATGGCAGGCATAATAAAAATTGATTATGAACTAATTAAATGTGTTCGACGGTATGCAGTTGAATATATAAGGGTTATGTACTGGGAGGTTTTGGATACAGATTTTATCCCAAGGGAAATAGACAATTAAATAGACAATTCTGTTGTCTTCTGAACATTTATTCAAAAATATGTACATTTTCTTAAACATATGATACTGATAAACGTTTGTGTAAAAAATGTCGTGGAAATTCTGCTTACAACGTGTGAAATAAGGAAAAAAGAAAAATCGTACCTTCGATGTTCCGACATTTTGTTACCAAAACGAACTGTTTCGGTAACCAGCGTAATCGAGTGGAACACCAGTGTTATTATAGCGTCGGCGCACTGAAAGTGGATGAATGGACAGGGAATGTTGAAATTAATTCACATTCTGATGTGCATTATGCTATTGCGTGGGATCACTGATCAGATGGGTTTGATGTAATCCACTTATTATTGTTCTTGTAAGATTAAAGGCAAAATATACTACATGTCACAAAAGTGCAAGGATGAACAATTCACCTGTGAATACATTTCAGACAATGTATCTCATATACAAGAGTATTGTACAGTCATTCAAAGTTTTGAACATTGAATCCTATTGAGAGGTGATTTAAAGGATTTTACGTATTGCAGGTTTTCCAAAGTCATTTCCATGTGTGATATTGTCACTTCTTTGGCTAAAACGGGGGGAGGCCCCCCTCCACAATTGTTTGTGGAACCTCATATTGCAAAGATTATGTGCAATTTCCAGGATACAACTTTGTGGTGTGGTGTTGGGGCTCCGAAAATGAGCTAGACGGAGCGAAAGGTGCGTGTTTAGCCTTTAATATTTCAGGTTTTTGGCTGTAGTTTGAGACCATGTGTCTGTACTATCTAATGTGAATAATTGTCTTTACATCGATGCTAACTGGTAGTTGTCCCTAAAGGTCACAGGTCATTCAAGGGGATATAAAACAATGGTTGCAATCCAAACTGCAGCAAATATGTGTATATGTAATGCATGAAATACAATGTGTGGACATTGAAACTAGTTCCATCAATGTAGGATGCATGGAATCAACAAAATCAAGGACAAAACAACAAATAAGGACAGTTACCCTAAGAGACTATAGAACAGAATTCCACCTTGTATGACTGAGATCCAAGTTCTATTAATCAGCAATCATCAACATCATTAGAAGACTGCAACCCTAGATATTACCAATGGACACTGTACTGATTTAGGTCAGTGAGTGGACTGTGACTGTGAACATTGTGGACTTTGAAACTAGTTCAATCAATGTAGGATGCATGGGTTCAACAACATGTAAGGTAGACTCATTTTTGAGATGGGACAATGGGGGGGGGAGTCTAACAATTTGACTGTATCTTTAACCCATGACCACTGGACAAGTATGGCAACAGAGTTATGCAACAATAAATGTGCATATCGTACACTGGAAAAAGCGTATTTGAGCTTCTTTAAGAAAATGTTAATATTAATTTTGTATCAATTTTTTGATTACCTGTATTGAACATACATTTCATATGCTTATACCAATGGACATTAATTTATCAAAACATTTTTTTGTTCATTGGGATTTGCTACTCTTTCTTAATGTTTATAAAGCAAAGCCTTCTTCGCTTGTTAAAGAGACAGGAAAAATTGACGAGAGAGTGGAGGACATTCAGCTATTCATTTACGAATAAAGATAGTAAGTTATTTTAGCAGTTTATATCTTTTTCTGTTGGATCATTGGTGATCAGAGTGTGTCATAACCAACCATTTACCTGAACTAATCTACTTTGTCCACAATTGATTCTGTCCACATTTGGGTTTGTACACAGTTGTAATTTGTCCACTTTACAATTCCTAAACCCCTGAATGGAAGATACAGCCTTACCTTGAAGACACAGTTCCTTTTAACAAGTGATGTATGACCTGATACAGTAATTATAATATCTGTCCCTCCCAAATCTGATTTTCACTGATACTAGGGGAAGTGCTGCCCAAATATTTCGTTTGTTTGGACTTCGAATATTTTCCCCTCCTCAATCTGATTTTCACTCATACTAGGGGAAGTGCTGCCCAAATTTTTCTTAAGTTTGAACTTAAGATTATTTACACAATTTATATATCCCCATGCTGGCCTAATATAACTCAAGACATGTTTTTCCTGTTTGTCAACAATTGTACAATTACACTTTGTCCACAATTGTGAAATCATATTTGTCCATAGCTGTCATTTGTCCACAATTGTACAATTACACTTTGCCCACAATTGTGAAATCACATTTGTCCACAGTTGTCATTTGTCCACAATTGTACAATTACACTTTGTCCACACAATTGTGAAATCATATTTGTCCACAGCTGTCATTTGTCCACAGCTGTCATTTGTCCACAATCATGCAATTACACTTTGTCCACAATTGCGAAATCATATTTGTCCACATTTGTCCACAATTAATCACACAGGGAGTCTTCACCCCTTTCATAGAGCCTATTAAATGAGAACAAGACAGTCAGTGACATATTCAGGACTTTTGGTCCTAACCATAGAGCACATTACCAATTCCTTGATTTTGTTGAAGCAGGACCAGAAACCCCACAGTACATGTTGCTTTCATTTAAATAGCTTTCAGAATCTAGTTCAACACTATGTTCATTCTTACTTTTCAGTTCCAAAGTGGAAATCATGTATGGGCCGGACGAGAAGATCAAAACTGCACATTCCCCACAAACTAATAAGAATTTATGAAATGGGTATGAAATTACATGCAACAATAGAACTTCCTTGCTTGACAGAGAACTCTTGTGGGAGCATAATTTGGTAAAAATATGAGAAATACACATATTAATGATACACACTGCTTTTTATCAGTTTGTCAATGCTCATGTGTTATGTGTAATATGTAATGATTGATCATCATCCATGGATTTGAAATTTCAGATTCAGATTTAAAACAACAAGTAAACATATTAGAGGGAGTGTGGACAAAGCCAGCAAAAAAACTTCATGTGATTTAAAATGTGAAGCACAAGGGATGTGAACTAGGAAGATTTTTGACCCAACAAGAATGTGGATAGGGAAAGGCAAGTTCATAATAGTATAATTGTGAATTTTGAAAATCACTCTTTTCTCTTAACTAAGCATCAATAATAATAGGTTACCAAGCAATTTATGCTAAAGCTCAACAGGTTGTTTGGTTGAAAATACCCATAATACCTATATTGTGAAGGGTGGTTCTGGACATTTCATTCATACTGAAGTCATTACAATACATGTTGAAGAAAAAATTAGAAATTGATATCCAATACTCATAACATCAATAATAGTTGCAGATACAAGTACTCATACAAAATAGAGCATTCAGTCTCAAATGATATGGGATAGATAGTCAAAGCGGTCAGGGCCATGAATTGGAATGAAATGGATCCAAACTTCCAATACTAAGAAGTATTAAACTCAAATGCTATGGAGCTTGAGGGGCTGAATAAAAGGGATATACCACATATAATTTTTGCAACTTGAAGAATTCATATGACCTGTCAATGTTTGAACCTTAATTTTGTATGTCAATATCATTAGATGATGCAACTCTTTCTAAGAATACACTATTAAAAATTCCACCAAATGAATACAAACTAGTCAACGAATGGGGATTTGAACTAAAAGAAACAATCAATGGGTCAATTAAACTTAAAAAGTATATTGAATAACTTAATGTGATATATGAATTATGTTGATGAATAATGAGAAAAAGAATGAAATCACTTATTAAAATGATGTTTCTTTGGAAAGCATTGCTATATTAATTTGAGATAAATTGAGTTTTACCAGGTATGATAAAAGCAGTTACAGAAACACAATTCCATTATCATGGGGTTTTACTGTATTCATATTTGATTTCATCATAAATTTAAACACTGAATCATTTAGGCAGAAAGATGGTGACTGGAACATGCATCTGGTATCTTCTGCATGTATGATACCCTATTTCTTCAGTGCTGGAAGACACAAGTATGCACAGTTTATGATGAACTACATATACATAGTTGACATGCACAAATTACCTGATGAAATCAAATAAATGTTCCGAGCTGGTCATTTTACGGTTTTTGAAGCAGAGGGAAGGTTTAATGGTATCTGGGGAGAAAGGCATGTTCCACTGGGAAAGTTCCGTAGAGTCTCCCGATAGCAACCTGATCGAAATGATGTGGGCCAAGATGAAAGACATCTCACAATTTAGCTCCTTTGATAAAGTGCTCCCAAGGAAATATTATAAATTTGAAAATATGTCCACTGGGTTATCGATCAACTCAAAAACAAAAGTAAGTAAAAATGCTATAATCGCACTCTTTGTATACACAGCTACAGATATCCGCAATTGCATGGAGTAGTTCATTTTCTTTGGTATAATAAAACTGAAATACATAACCAATTCAGTGACTGCGCAACTTACACTTTAAATACATATTTAGTTTTTATCAATTATTTTTCACGTTCTGTCAATCCTGAAAGTGCCGTATCACAGACCAATTGTTCCTTTTTGTTTCATCCTGGATTTTTTTAGGACTGTCACGCCTCCGTCTTGAATTCTCCATGTCCTGATTTATACCAGTGTTTACTTTCAGTGTCTGTTTTTAACAGTCCTTAAGACAATTAAAGAGATAAACGAATCGTTGGGCGTGCTTACAAATAAAGTACTTTCTACGTTCAATGTATATGTTCCTCTTTTTAAAAATATTTTGTCATTGTTGTATATCATCTACATGAATGTTTTTATTTGTATTTTCAGAAAATGGAAAAGAGAGTATTTGTCCATCAGATTTCTGAATAACAATAACCAAACGTTGCAAAGATGGTTTCAGGAATATACATCAAGTATCTAATGCATTACATAGTGCTATGTATGATTTTAGGTAAACGCAAGAAAAAAAACAAAAACAAGACAGACACGAGGAGAGAAGTATGCTGCGAACCAGCGAGGAATAAAAATAGTAAAAATGTCACGTTATCTGTCTTCAATGAATGTGCACTCACCCTTTTAGAGAAAACAATAACAAACGGGTGGGTGTAGAAGGTGCTGTTGATTCATTACAAAAGGTAAGAAGCATAAATGAACTTTTGAAATATCTTGAAAATAGTTTGTCTTATCCATCTGAACTATTATAGTATTAATTTTAATGTGGCAATGTTATATTTTTTCTCACTAACGCCTCAGTATTGGTCTGGCTTAGGAAAATGCCCTGTTTTACTTGTTCAAGGTAATGTTGATAATGTACTTCCTACCATTGAAAAGAATCTACTACAGTGGATTGCAGTTCACATCCACACATTTTACATCAAAGTCTTTTACACGGATTGATGTGGCTGTTGGTCCAATCTTATGAGAGGAAACTGCCTAATGTATATCCCGATGTAAACAATTCTTAGCCTGAAGGTTCACTTTTTTGAACACAATTTTTTAATTTGAATAGGCAATTCCCAAGAAACAATCACAATGTCTACAACATGTAGGCAAGTGAAGCTGAATGGTTCAGGAAATATTTAGATGCAAACACAGCCAATGTGGACTTAACAATTCACCTCCCATAGAAGAAATCTCCGCATTTGTCCAATTTAGCATCATGTTTTCTAGTTTGGTCACATCAGTTTCTACCCATAACATGATATGTTACCCCTATGTGTCCTTTTCAAAGGTATTGGACAAATGTCCCTGGTGGGCCAGGTGTGCTCAAGGGTTGTCTGTGTTTGGTTTATTCAGACATCCTACAGAAGACGAGGCAACATCTTACACAACCAGCTGCGAACCAGCGAGGAATAAAAATAGTAAAAATGTCACGTTATCTGTCTTCAATGAATGTGCACTCACCCTTTTAGAGAAAACAATAACAAACGGGTGGGTGTAGAAGGTGCTGTTGATTCATTACAAAAGGTAAGAAGCATAAATGAACTTTTGAAATATCTTGAAAATAGTTTGTCTTATCCATCTGAACTATTATAGTATTAGTTTTAATGTGGCAATGTTATATTTTTTCTCACTAACGCCTCAGTATTGGTCTGGCTTAGGAAAATGCCCTGTTTTACTTGTTCAAGGTAATGTTGATAATGTACTTCCTACCATTGAAAAGAATCTACTACAGTGGATTGCAGTTCACATCCACACATTTTACATCAAAGTCTTTTACACGGATTGATGTGGCTGTTGGTCCAATCTTATGAGAGGAAACTGCCTAATGTATATCCCGATGTAAACAATTCTTAGCCTGAAGGTTCACTTTTTTTAACACAATTTTTTAATTTGAATAGGCAATTCCCAAGAAACAATCACAATGTCTACAACATGTAGGCAAGTGAAGCTGAATGGTTCAGGAAATATTTAGATGCAAACACAGCCAATGTGGACTTAACAATTCACCTCCCATAGAAGAAATCTCCGCATTTGTCCAATTTAGCATCATGTTTTCTAGTTTGGTCACATCAGTTTCTACCCATAACATGATATGTTACCCCTATGTGTCCTTTTCAAAGGTATTGGACAAATGTCCCTGGTGGGCCAGGTGTGCTCAAGGGTTGTCTGTGTTTGGTTTATTCAGACATCCTACAGAAGACGAGGCAACATCTTACACAACCAGCCTAAAACCATTAGCCAGGGTGGCAGAAGATGACAACAATTCCATACCACCCTTGCAAAGACAACTACCACTGGTAAGATTGTATACATTTATTGAAATACGAACTTGTTGCAAGTTAATGAAATTTCACTGAATTACTTTATTTAATAGAAATTCTTCAAGGCGACTGGGACCTATTATGGTTGTGCGCAGGTTTTGTGAATGAGATGGTAAAAGTCATCCTACCACAACCGGAAGAAAGAAGGAACTTTCAAGAAATGAAATATTCTATTTAGCAAACCATGTTTTGTTTTGTTGGATTTCACAGAAAAGTCCTTTCTAAAGTTTACCTGATTGAAAGGAGGAGGGAAATTAGCGAAACAGATTTTGAACAGTCATATGTTTAATTTTGGCCATTTTCTTGGGATTTAAACAGGTGCATATGTTAGGCCAATAAATTATCTCCAGGAAAATCACTTCTAGAGATGAAAAAATAATTTCGACTTTGACACAGGGTAGATGCATCCTTTGTTTTTACACATTTATATTTGATTTATGTACCTATATATGTGGTAAATGCACTTGTATATGCGGTTTATGTTATTCAGTGTTTGGTAAAATGTCACATATTTAAGTCCATGTACACACACGAACAAAGACGGTTGACACATATATTTAGAACACGCATCAAATACAAATATACTTTAGAACCAAACAATTCATTTACCTTAATAGAAGATATGTATTAGCGATTGGAGAATCACATCAGAGCTCTTAGAATATATAGATGGCGCAAGTCATGTGACCGAAGTCACGTGACTTACCCCACATCAAAACAGTGAACATTGGTGTATATAAAATCATTCGGGAAGTCACATGACTTACCCCACAAATGAATATGTTTACCCAATACAAATGGTACTTGGCATCGCATATATTTATAAAATACTTATCAAATTTATATTTGATTGGGTCGAATACAGTTTTGAAGCATCTTTAATATTTGTTTTGTAAGACAGTCAATTATATGTGGGATAGTTGGTACCATTTGTTGTAACTGGTTTTGTTTATGTTCGGTTAACTTACTCCGTGGGGTAAAAACCCGAAGATATTAATGTCACGAATATTGATGCAATAAATACACTATATTCCATGACACCTCACTTTTGGCCAATACATTTAAGACAAAAGTTCTGTTAGACAAGATTTCAAATAAAAAATTCAAAATTTGATGATGATAAACAATATCTCAGATGTACAGAAAATATAATAAGGAGTTTGTAAAATGGTCAATATAATAAAAACAAGTGTATATCACTAACTTTGTGCAAACAATGGAAAATAGAATCATATCTCATTTGTTAGAAAAACAATGTTTCATTTTTTAGAATCACCCTGAATATAGATAAGCAATTAATTTGCAGAATTAGATGGAGAGATGATTGAGTGTTCTAATAATGTAAAAGAGGAAGATGGCTCCATCAAAATTGCCTTCCCAGACTGCAGAACCGCCAGTTATTCTCAAAATATATCCATGGTATGCAAGATATTATAACAATGAGAAATCTATGGTATAATGCATCTTTAAAAAATGGATCGACGAAAAGAATTACAACCCTGAAATATTCAAATCCAGTTTGAGTTTAGACAGAAACCGAAACAATCGGATAATTAATCTTGCCAAGAAGTTTAAAGTTGAAAATGGTAAGCTCACCCTTGTGAAGTGCTTCTTGGATAACCTCTTAAAAAGAGAATTTCATTGAGCAGGAGCAAACTGAAAAACTTTGAACTTTGGTTGACCTTCAGCTGATCGCTGAGAGGAGGTAAGAAAAACATGAACAACTACTCTTCAAAAAGATTGGACCTTTTGACACTAAAATGGTCAGTTACAGAAAAGTTCTACTTGAATAGAAATTCACAATTTTCACAGACAACAACCAACTGACTTATATCATGCGAAAGAAGAAATTACCACGTTTAGAACAATGTTGGGTGTCTGATCCCATGATGACAAGAGCACCCTTGAATGGACCTCCTTGTCAAGTACTAGTTGCTGCTATGGGCAGATGGGCACACCTATGTGCCTTGTTCCATACTGTAGGTATCCATGGTTTGATTAATATAGCCATGGTCTTCACATGTAACTGTAAAATGAAAATGTGTGTAATCAAGAAATGTAGACTGTTTTTATTAAAGAACACCTACTGTTGTACACACAAATTTCCACATCGATTTTAGCTATTTTATACAAAACTCTTTTCACATTTTGAGAACAACATTTTTGAAAATGTATGGATTTTTAAGAATTGGCAAGTCAAAAATAAGTGATTAATTTTACTATTTTGAATGGCCTATCATTATTTATTCCTTAAATACCCTTAGATTGGTTTTAATGAATGTGAAAGTGAATATAGATTTGGTGAAATGCTTGAAGTTATTAAATGACCAGAGATATGATCAACAACATTAACATTGTTGTGTCAACTTGTGTATACACTGTACATTTATACCATGGTCAGAGCAATACCAGGTATATAACAGCAAGTGATATCAAAATGTTTGCAGGATTCATCAAGGTTTGGATGATATTGCTGGGATCGGGACAGCTTTGGAACAAAATCCCAAGCTGTATAACATCTTCCTTCACCAAATAAATATCTCGTATTTTGAAAGCCAGTCAGATTTGTGCTAGGATCCTAAGAGGGGTGTTTGTGGGGTAGTGGGTCATTGAGGCCTGATGGCTAATACCAGGTGAGTGTTAGGCTTCCTGACAGGGTGGGATATACTGAATTTTTTTTTTTTTTTTATTCAAGTTCTCATTTAATACATTTCAAGTACAATATATAAAAGAATACAAATGTAATTTCACAAAAGTTTTATATGTAGAAATATGTACTATATGTTTAAATAGATATAATTTTACATGATCTTACAACTTGAACTTCATTCATACCCATTCAAATTCATTCATTCATGCATTCTCCCACTCACACGTTGACTTTTACATTGGTATATCTCTTCCAAACGAAACAGAAAATGTGGTGTTTTATTTATTTTTATTTATAAAAGTCTATATAGTGCATTTACATTGATACCCCTTTGATCTAGGTGCTTAATGCTGTCTAGATACACTCTTAGATAATTGATAAATTTGAAAAAGTAAGGTATTTCACTTTCTAAAAATGATTTGTATAAAATATATTTCACAATCAGTATACATAAGTTAAGCTCATTGACTTTCTCTTCGTTCCGGATGATACCTAATAAAATATTATTTTCAGTAACCTTTGATTCTTTATTTACTTTTTGTTTCCACTATTCAATAAATTGTTTCCATATATCTTTTGTTATTCTACAGTTCACGAGCATGTGCTTCATGGTATGGGTTTCATCACACCATTGGCATTTGTCTGTCTGTGTAATGTTCATCATTTTTAACTTATTGTTGCATATTAATGTATTTGTCAATATTTTGTACTGGAAACTCCAAATTTTTGTTTCATATGTAACCTTTTTGGCAAGCGTATAATAGTATTTCATTTCTGTTTCCTTTACATCATTTTCTTGAATCCATTTTCTCAAAGATGTAGGTTTTTCTACCTCTTTTTCAAGGATTTTGTTATATATTGTTTTACATGTCAATTGACTGGGAAGCAGTAATGTTTTAATTGTGCATTTGTTTTTCAATCTGTTATTTTTAAGATTTTTCCATGTTTTGGGAATAGCGCTAAGTATACTCGCATATTTCAAAAAGTCTATATGAATGCTAAATTTTTGTTCCAGTTCTGTCTTAGATAAGAAGTTGTCATTTCTGTCTAAGATATCATGAATTTTAACAATACCTGCTTGATGCCATTTCTTGAAGTACAGCATTTTATTATTGACTAAAATATTTTTATTATTCCATATGATTTCATTTTCAACATCATCCCAATTATTAACATCATGATGAGTTACTTCTGCCCATGTTTCTAGCATTGTCAAATAAAATTTAGGAATTTCGTTATAGTTTTGAAAATACTTTATATGGTAGTTACACTTAGTGAGGAACTCAATTCCACCATGTTGTTTAATGAATAAATTTGGAATTTCTTTCCAAGATGATTGTTCTTTGTCTATCAATCGTTTTATCCAAGTGCATTTTAGGGATCTATCCATTATGATATAATCTTTCATTTTTAATCCACCTTGTTCAATTTCAGCAATAATTGATTTTCTCTTTACTTTTGGTGGTTTCTTTTTCCAAAAAAAAAAATTGTTTTATTTATTTCTTGTAAAATCGGGGGTGGTATATGCATAACTGAGCTTACATATGTTAACTGAGAAATACCTAAAGATTTGATAATTTGAATTCTGCCTATTATTGTTAAATTTCTCAAGTTCCATAATCTTATTCTATTTTTCATTTCTTCAATTTTCTTTGCGATGTTCAATTTTGATCTATCATCTGCATCATAGGTAAATGTTATTCCTAGAGCTTTTACACTAGTTTTTGATTTGATTCCATTTATATCTTGCTGTTTTTCCCGATCCCTTCCTATCCACATTACTTCAGTCTTTTCTTTGTTAATTTCTAGACCAGAACATTTTCCAAATTTTTCAACTAAATTTAAAGCATTATTTGTTGACTCCTGATCATTCAAAAATATGGTAGTGTCATCAGCATACTGACAAAGTTTGACTTCACATTCATCTTTAATTGGAATTCCTTTTATGCTCTGATCAGCTCTTATAGCAATACTTAATAATTCGGCAACTAGTATGAAAATTACACCAGAGAGTGGGTCGCCTTGGCGAACTCCCCTTTCCAATTGGAACCATTCAGATGTGAAGCCATTATTTATAACACAACTCTATGGTTTTGCATATATAGCTCTGACATAATTTATAAGTGTTTCCCCAAAATTGAATTTTTCTAATGTGTTTATCATAAACTTCCAGTCAATACTATCAAATGCTTTCTTATAGTCAATTAAAAGAAGAAGACCTTGAATGTTGTTCGTTTTTGTGTAGTCTAGCATATCATATATAAGTCTAATACTTTGTCCTATATATCTATTTTTCACATACCAAACTTGATCATTATGTATTAATTTCGGTAAAATATCTCTGAAACGCTCACTTATAGTTTTTGTAAATATTTTATAGTCCACGTTTAACAGAGTTAGTGGTCGCCAATTTGTTAGATGTTGCCTATTTTTACCTTTTTTTGGAATAAGAGATATGATGCCTCTATTTTGAGATATGGAGAGTTCTCCTTTAATAAGTGAATAGTTAAAACTGTCAGTCATTTCCATTTTAATATCTTCCCAAAATGTGCAATAGAATTCAGCTGTAAGCCCATCTGTGCCAGGAGTTTTGTTCTTTTTGAAAGTTTTTAATGATTTAAAGCATTCCTCCCATGTAATTCTCTTATCGCAAATTTCCTTGTCTGTATTATTGATTGTTGGAATTTCATTTTGTAGAAATATATTAGAATATTCACCATCAGGATCATTGTTCTTTTTACTGAATAAATCTTTGTAAAATTCTTTTTCTGTTTTTAATACTTGTTCAGGGTCATTAATTAATATACCACGATTATCATAAATAGAATTTATTACCTTGTTTGAGTAATTGTGTTTTTCTAAATTGAGAAAATATTTGCTTGAACGTTCACCATACTCACACCACCTTGCTTTGGATCTCATGATGCTACTTTGTGTTTTTCTATCCTGTATTAGTTCTATTTTAAGTTTGCATGCATTATATTTGTTAAGTGTGTCAGTGTTATTATTTTTGTCAAGCCCAACTTGAGCTTCATTTAAGTCTTTCAGTGCTCTTTCCTCTTCTAGTCTGGATTCTTTTGATTTTGTCTTACTATATTTTTGACATACTGCTCTAATATCTGTTTTTATAAGATCCCATTTTAATCCCAAATCTTGAATCTCTCTGTGTTTTTCCTTAGAATTTGTAATCTCTTCTTGAATTAGCTTTTTATATTCTTTATCATTATCCCATTGCGAATTATATTTCCAAAATCCAGGTCCCCGTCGTTTAAAATTTTTTGATTGAAATGTGATAAATTTTAGCATTATGATCAGGAGATGGCCCAAATCCTATTTCCGAGCTAACCAGTTCTTTTAAATCTGTTGATATTAACCAATAGTCGAGCCTGCATTGAATTTTACAGTCAGCATTATGCCAGGTGTATCTTTTTTCTAGAGGATGCTGATATCGCCATATGTCCTGTAAATTATTTGTATTTTTTAACGTTAAGATCTCATTTATTACTTTGGCCTTTTCTTGTATATGTTTTCCTCCATATTTGTCTTTTTCTGTAAGAGCACAATTAAAATCACCAGCACAAAAACAATAATTAGTATCTACATTGTTTAACAATAAATGATTCACAAATTGAAAAAAGTCTATTTGTTGGTTTTTATCATTTGGGGCGTATATATTTACAAAACAGTATGTGTCGCCATCTATCTCAACATTAAGTATCACATACCGACCATTTTTATCTACTGTCTTATCAATTATATTAGCATCAATTTTTTCTGAAATAAGTATAGCTACTCCTTTACTATGACACGTACCATGTGAAAACACTGAGATTCCTTTCCACTCGTTTCTCCATTGATTTTCTATTTTTGTGTGACTAAACGTCTCTTGTAAAAAGGCTACACCTATATTTTGATTATTTAACCATCTAAAAGTGTTCATTCTTTTTCTAGATTTGTTTAATCCTCTAACATTTAGAGTTACAGCTTTAAATTTTACTCCCATTTAACAAACAAACCAAAATGTTTTTATGTTTATTTCACAAAAAATGTCAGTACATATGCGTACATACTTACCTGTAGTGTAATATACATTGTTATCATTGTAAGGATTTCATTTTGCATTGTATCAATTGTAAAGATTTGCCAAGTCAACCATATATACAATATACTCAACCATCACACACATACACATACATACAACACACCACACATTTATACATCTTAAAACAACAAACATAACTATTTATTTGAATTGTCAGTTTATTTCAGTTAAACTATACACTCGCTGGGATATACTGAATATGCAGTTCACAGGTTAGCATACATGATTGTTAATCCTGGAGACATCAATATCCAGAGATGTGAGCCACTTGTTTCATAATAAGGGCTTTGTGAGGCCAGGTCACCTATCACTCGAGCCCCAATTGGTCAACATTCTCAAAAGAATTGTGTGTATGTTGACCAGTGCATGGGCCATGGCCATGGCATGGGATCAAGGAAGAGGAAGGAAGACAAAGACAGGACAACAAAGGACTTAAAACGACCAAATAGACTACAGAACTAGACAATTATACAATACCAGCAACGGAAGAGAGTTTGGACATTTAGTTGCAGGAGAGTGTGGAAGCTCCTCTGTGCCAAGATCTCCAGCTTGACACACAGATAGTAGAACTGATGGACCAGACAGATGAACTACAGCTCTAGAGGAGCTAGGTCTTGAGGTTTTCTGATCATGCAATATCTATATGGAGATATAATCATTAAATTTAAAGATGACAATGACCTTCTCCAGGTTTTTTTTTAAATTATTTATTAAACATACAACATTTAGCATACAGTTCATTTTACATACAATTTTCTTATAACATTTCTAGGTTTGCAAAGTTGCCATATTTATATTTGCTAATACAATTTTTGGCTATCAAAACCAAATTGTTATCACATCATTTATCGTTCCAAACAGTATATCCCTTGTTGACAAACGTAATATTTTGTTCTGATTTACATTGAACTTGTCTTATACAACTTTCTATAATCCTTTAACCATTTTACAATCGACAAAGTGTTCATATGTGTCTCTTATAGTTATACATGTTCCGAAATTTTCATTTTGTATAATAACATGTTTGAAGGGTAAATTTTGTGTAAGACTTTATATTGCAATGTGTTGAGTCTCGGCTCTTTGATGTTTGAAAATGTATACAATATAGTTTTCCAACTCAAATTTTGATAATTCCATTTTCCTCCACTTTGCGAATCACTAATTCTTTTGCCAAAATCATATTTTTAAAATGTTTTGCTGTGGTATCTTTGACAAACATTTTATTATATTTGAATGATATTTCTTTGTCTTGAATATCAACATTGGTATTCAAAAGTGCATTCTTGACTATATTGTACTGTAGTAAGATTGCAGCAGTTTGTCCAACAATCTGTACAATTTCATCATACTTTTTCATATTACCATCCTGATTAAATAAATCTCCTACCCTTACAATACCTTGCTCAATCCATTTTTTGAAATACACATTTGATTTTTTGAATTGTATGTTCATATTATTCCAACACATCTTGCTTTGAAACTCTATTTTTTACCTTGATGTCTCTATTGTTGAGCCATTCTTTGATTAAATATCTATAGAACTCTGGAAGATTCTCTATTTCTAATTTACTTTTGAAATTCTGATAATTTGTTTGGTATTCAAATATAAGTGACCCATGTCAAGATAATTTCAAAAAATTCTTAAACAAATTGTGCCAAGTTGCTTGTTGTGAGAGAAAATCTCTTTACCCAGGTCATGATCATTGTGCTTTGGATTACATTCATATCAAACATATTTATACCCCCATTTACACATTTTTGCCGAATATTTTCTTTTTTTACGTTCCCCTCCTGTCCCCTTACTATTTTTCCACAAAAATTGGTATAACATGTGATTAATGCTATCTAATAATTTTTTGCATCTTAGTGCCTGACCCAAACGTATGGATGAGTCTATAAAGTGTATAGAGAAAGAAGGCAGCAGCAGACCAATGTTATGTTACAATTTTTGCTATATACAAATGCCAGCCATAGCTGTTCAATGGGATTTAGATCCTTGAAGAAGGGAGAAAATACCTGTTCAACAATTTTAGAGACCGCTAGATATTTGCAGGGACCAGTAACATTGGTGTGCACATCGGGAACAAGAACTGTGACAGCTAGATATTTGCAGGGACCAGTAACACTGGTGTGCACATCGGAAACAAGAATTGTGAGAGCTAGATATTTGCAGGGACCAGTAACACTGGTGTGTACATCGGAAACAAGAATTGTGACAGCTAGATATTTGCAGGGACCAGTAACACTGGTGTGCACATCGGAAACAAGAATTGTGACAGCTAGATATTTGCAGGGACCAGTAACACTGGTGTGCACATCTGAAACAAGAATTGTGACAGCTAGATATTTGCAGGGACCAGTTACACTGGTGTGCACATCGGAAACAAGAATTGTGACAGCTAGATATTTGCAGGGACCAGTAACACTGGTGTGCACATCGGAAACAAGAATTGTGACAGCTAGATATTTGCAGGGACCAGTAACACTGGTGTGCACATCTGAAACAAGAATTGTGACAGCTAGATATTTGCAGGGACCAGTAACACTGGTGTGTACATCGGAAACAAGAATTGTGACAGCTAGATATTTGCAGGGACCAGTAACATTGGTGTGCACATGGAAACAAGAATTGTGACAGCTAGATATTTGCAGGGACCAGTAACACTGGTGTGCACATCGGAAACAAGAATTGTGACAGCTAGATATTTGCAGGGACCAGTAACACTGGTGTGTACATTTGAAACAAGAATTGTGACAGCTATATATTTGCAGGGACCAGTAACACTGGTGTGTACATCGGAAACAAGAATTGTGACAGCTAGATATTTGCAGGGACCAGTAACACTGGTGTGTACATCGGAAACAAGAATTGTGACAGCTAGATATTTGCAGGGACCAGTAACACTGGTGTGTACATCGGAAACAAGAATTGTGACAGCTAGATATTTGCAGGGACCAGTAACACTGGTGTGCACATCGGAAACAAGAATTGTGACAGCTAGATATTTGCAGGGCACTGGCTGCCAGCCAGCCTCACTTTGTAAAATTTAATCCAGCAGCTAATGCAACATAATATCCCTGCTTAATATTCATAGCATTACCACTTCCTGTTGTTGCCTAGCAATATAATGAGCATCAAAATGCCTGGATTACTGTCCTTTAAATGGGTATTTTGAATGCTTAAAACTAACCCTAAAACCAAATAAGAGCAACTTTCTCTTGTACAAACTATTTCGAAAGGGCTTGGTTGATTCTTTAATCTTGAGACATTAAGTAGATAATGATTCACTTGGGATTATTTAACATCTGAACTTTTCTACCCATTTCCTTGAGTTTGGATCATCTTAATGTCCATTAACTTTAAACTGAAAGAGGAGAAATTTTCCTGGTGGAAAGTAAGCACATCTTCCATTCTCCTCAAGTTCAATGTGTCTTCTGCAAGGTTCAAAAGATTTGATTTGATTTGATTTCAATTCTGAAACAAGAATTGTGACAGCTAGATATTTGTAGGGACCAGTAACACTGGTGTGTACATCGGAAACAAGAATTGTGACAGCTAGATATTTGCAGGGACCAGTAAAACTGGTGTGAACATCGGAAACAAAAATCGAAGTGGTGATTATATTTAAACATTTTTTGAACAAAACTTTTTATTGTACCTAAAAAAAGTATGATATTGTCAGCTTGATGGGTCATGGTAGGTGAGCAGTAGTGTCTCACTTTTCAATTTGTTTACAGATTTTCAACCAAATTGTTTGAGGGATTCATCTGAAATTTTCAGGCATGTTACATATGAAAGTTTAGAACTGATTAATTTTGGGGAATTTTAAGTAAATTTTAAGGTGGCCATTTTGGATTTTCATCCTTAAATCTTGTCAAAAAGAACTTTTTTCAACTTGCTTCAAATTGATCAAATTTGTTTCAAAATCATCTACAAGTTCTCAGGAGTTCAAATCTGACTTTAGATTTCAGATTTCTGGATGGCATACATTCAACGAAGTTTGCAAAGATGCTGTTTTAGCTAATAGCTAAAGTCACACTGAATCCCCTTCCCACACTGGTACTCCCACCAGAAGCAATCATCTATTCAAACGCCCTTGGACTCATAACTCAAATAATAGTAACTACAAATACCATGTGTGCCAATGCTGCTTTACATGCTTCCTAGGCTACTTCGTACAAATTCCTGTGAATATGGTTCATCAGTTGCCTAGATAATATCAAAACGTGGCTCATGTTTTTGGGACACCCAATATAGTTTAATAGTTTAAATTACAAAGTTACTTAATTTCATCAATCAAAATAGGTCAACATAGTGTAATTCATTCATAACACATAATGAATGAGCATATATAAGAGTCAGTGCTTTCTTATAAAAATGACAGTAGGAAATCAAAGAAGTTGAACCATTCCCCTTTTCTATTCTTATCTCTTCATTAGATAATTTATGATTTCTCATAAATGCATACGAATACCTATATTACTGGACAGCAGAATAATTGGTTTCTAGGGATAATAAGTCTTTTAAAAGGTGCAATCTGCTGTAGTATCATGGACTTACATTTTATGATTAATTAAATGAAATGAATGTTTGAGTCTCATTTTTACATGTATTTATTAATGAGTTTTAACTGAAATACACTTACTTTTCTATTATGTTCTGAATTTAAAATGTAAATAAAAATATAAATTGGTGAAAGCATAAAACTTAATTGCTCTATATGAGTAAAAGTATATTTGTCATCAAATATATATATTTAAAACTTGTTGTTTCAGTAGGAACAGAAAAGTTGTAAGAGGAAATGACTGTGCAAAGCCAGGCGAGAGGATTTATTCTAAGAGGCGCCTTGCTCAGATGCCAAATTAACTATTCCAACTCATTGTCATGGTTGATAAACTAAGGACCTCAGGATGAGACAACCAGCATCATCTTTATCTTCGACTCCCAGTGTTGCAGCATGTTCTTCATCTTTAACTCGTTCAAGTGTTACAGCTTATTCATCTTCATCAAACGTTGCTGATACTGTTCAAACGTCATCTGGAAACCTGTACACAAGCCTTGACAGACAAGATTTTAGGACGTAAAATCCATAATGGCCACCTTAACGTTTACCCAGAATGCCAAAAAACTAATCAGTTCTATATTTTCATAGGTAGAGAAACATCCTTGAAAATCTCAAATGAATCCCTCAGTTCTAAACTTTCATAGGTAGAAACATCCCTGAAAATTTCAAATGAATCCCTCAAACGGTTTGGCTGGAAACATATGGACAAGATTATTCGGGACGCCTTTCCGCCCGCCACCCCCCATCCGCCTACTCATCTGCCTGCCCGGCAAACTGATTACAATATAGCACCCAAGGGTGCGATAAAAATACTCTGTCATCTGGAGTCTGAACTCGTTAAATGTCAAACTTCTAGTTATGTTTGTATTCATTGTGTTTTTCTTTTGTAATGTATTC